GATTTAAAGCCTGACTCTACCATATGCTGTGGTGGGACAGGTCACCTAGTGCCTCTAAGTCTTTCTGTCAAATGAGTGGGAATAAGATCCACTGTGCAAGGATAATGTGAGAAGCAAATGGGACAAAACATTCACAGGGACTGAACACAACAAGCACTCGATAACTACTTTCATCAATTCCTTCTCAAAGTCTATAATCTAGCTTTAAGAGAGCAGGTGTCCTTGCCAATAAAATTTAAAATAAGACAAGATAATGAGCAATCAGTTTGAATATTACTAAAAATATTCACTATCAGTGGAGTAAGAGAAGCAAATTAACAGAAAAGCTATTACTGATAAGACAATAGACCGCAGGGTATAAGAGAAGAAAAACTAAGAACCGAGTGCCTGAATGAGACTGACAGGCACACTGTGACAGAGACATCACCAGAAAATATGTCAAATGTATGCTGTCGCCATTAAGATGCCTCTACAATAAACACTTTTGTTTTCACCAAGGTTATAGTTGGTCGAAACCAAAAATGTTCTTAAAATAACAATGTCTTTTTGGTCAGCATGACATTTTCTAACAGCACAATTACTGTGAAACCTATGGTCACAAAGTAAATAAGAAACAACAGCAAAAGAAGGTAAAAATTAAATTGTTCCCACAAGAGAAATTATTTACAAAACAATTAATGAAATGCAAAACTTGTCAATTTGCATGGAGCTCTGAATAGCATGAAAAAACCATTTTGAGTCAATAACAAATACTCCTCCAATGTCACAAAATTCCTGGCAAGACCAATAAACCTGAAAACATTTTTCCTGGTTATTGTAGTTCCTATTACATATTATTTTAAAGATTTTTTTTTTTTAAACATTTACCTCAATAATGACTACATAAGAAAGACTATTCTTTTTCCTGGTTTATAGGATTAAGTACCCAGTATATGCTCACAGTGGTTTCTGTTTGTATTTGGTTTTGTTTTCATGTGAGAAAATGCCTAAGAGTTCATAGGGACAGGAAGCAACCTGAGAATTTGGATTCGACACTTAATTCTGGCACTAAGTAGGAAAGATGGCTCTGTCTCTGGACTCCAGTTTTCAAACTATAAAAGGGAATTAGAAACCCCACCTGGCTCCCTCACAGGAACATGGTAAGCATCACCAAATGAAAGGACAAAATATGAACGCATCTGTAACTATCTGAAATGCAACATAAACCTAAAGTGACAATAATTTTACTATCATCAGCAATCAGGCATACCAGATGTTTGGACTTAACTATTCCCTTGGCTTTCCCCTGCTTTCTGGATTATTTGTCATCATTCCAAGAGCTGATGATTTTTTTTAAAGGTAAAATAAAGTGTGAAATAATAACATAATAAGTAGTAACACTTAATATACAATGAACCAAAAACAAATATAAAGCAGCTTTATAATTCTCTAATAGAATTCTACCATAAAAAAATTCTACCATAATTCTGAAAGTAAACTTGGTCCAAATATCCAAGCTACATTTCATTTGATCCTTTGTCTGACCCTGTGGGACAAGTATGACAGGTGGTATTACGCCTGAGTTTTACAGACTAAAATCCTGAAACTCAGAGTAGAGCAACTCATCCAAGGTCCCAGCTAAAGCCAGGGCCCTTCACCCTTCTTCTGAGTTAATTTAACGTTCATTCTACTTGTCCTGCGTTATGAGGTTCCCCTATTTTCAAGGAAATTCACTTCACACAATGTCAAACTTGTAGGCTGGTAATTGTATCATTCCTTTTACACAGCTCCACCATAAGGAAATTCCAGAGGAGAGACTGGGCACACAAGAAGTGAAAGGGCGGCATCTACTGGCAGAAGTGTGTTGCTGCAATCAAAGTAATTTGAGAGCTTCTTCAAGACTGAAAATACCAGTAATGTCAACAGTTCACAAAAGTGAGTGGAAAGAAAAACCATAGTGACAGAGGTGCAAGGGCAAGCAAGCAAGCAAGCAAGCATTGAGAAGTTCTAAAAATGATACCTATGATCACTTTGGTGATCAATTTCAACCACAAATAGTTTTAATTCCTTTGTTTTACAGCACTTTTCAAATCAGTCCCTTTGGGAGCAAGTTTTCTTTGGGGAATGTAGCTGTAGTTTTATAATGGAAGTCAATGGCAAATCACTGGGGAAAAGTTTAGGTAACTGAAATTCACATGCTATGTACAATGTTTCAAGAAAGGAAGGGAAAGTGGAGGAGGAAGCTGACTTTTGTGAAGTACCTACTGGTTAAGTATCCCTGATCCAAAATGCTTGGGAACAGAAGTGTCTCACACTTTGGATTTTGGAATATTTGCATTATAATTAACTGTTGACATCCCTAATCCAAAAATCTAAAATCTGAAATGTTCCAATGAGTACTTGCTTTTGAGTGCCATGTCCATGCTCAAAAGTTTGGATTTTGGAGCATTTCGGATTTCAGATTTTCGGGTTCAGGATGCTCAACCTGTATTGTTGCAGGTACTTTATATGCATTTATCCCATTTAAAGCCCACACAGACACAAAATATATCCTAAGGTTCTAGTATTACCTGCATTTTACAGTTGAGGAAAATGAAGCTCAGAAAGAAGAAACTGGCCCAAAGCTACTCAGCAAATGGCAAAGTCAGGATTTGAACCCTGAATGCCTGACTCAAGTGATCTTAACTACCAAATACACACTGAAATATCGCTTTGGTACACATAATGTCCATACAAAGAGACACAACTGCAACTTCATAAAACCTTCTAAACAAATGTGAAATCTAACATTTTTCAGTCAAAAAACTTGGATGTAAATAACAACCTGAGTTGTGTATTTTTCTCAGTAGCAATACAATAAATTACCATGAAACTTCCTCTTTGCATTATTTCCTCAATACTACTTAATCCCTACATTGTCAGTTCAAAATCTCAGTAATATCAGCATCGAACTCCAACAGAGACATGAAGAAAGGAAAAGAGACATGCTTTCCATTCAAGAAATATTATGCTTGGTGTAGATGTGTCATCAAAGACAAAAGACGTTTAATTGTGTTGTATTTCACTTGAGTAGTGGGGCATCAGGATTTCTATGAAGTAAAAGTGGTCCTGTTTGTTGGGAGAGGGAAATGACATAAGGACAACATCTTAGATAATGAAAAAGCTTCCACATCATGCTTTTCTTTCACAGGCACTGGGCCACATAAGCAGGTATCACTTTTCAGAGTTCTAACAGAGTCTCTTTGGATGGGGGGTGACCAAACTGGCACACAGTCTTCTCCCTTGCCTTCTCAACATTTCATGTCCCAGGAATATGGATTACTGAACTGTCAAGAGTCTACGTGAGAAAAAAATGGGTGGTGAAGCTGAGAAGAAAGATTGAAGAAAGTATCTTTGACAGCTCAAAGGAAGAAGAGTAAAAAATACACATCTAGGTGAATGAGATCATAATTCAAAGTCATGTTTGTGGATCTAGTAATACAAAAATAATTTACCTTCACCTCAGCTAAAAACTAAAAACTTTGCTTTCTAGAACAACTAATTTACATTTTAAAATATTTTTCAGACTTTGGAAGCTTCTTCATGAAGAATAAACAACACTGAGCTTACAGTCATTTCTCTTTCTCTTCTCTGACTTCAAATTATAGCAAAATTTAAAAAAATAACTGAACCAAATCTGGCCTTGGTTGTAATGAGATTCAAACTCAAGAATTTTCAGAGTGTGGTTATAGCAATTAGGAATTCCAAGCCTCCAGGTTGTTAATTCCAACCTGGCTATGTTTTGACACCTGGGGCAGGCTAACAATGTTTGCCAGGAGACTGCTCACTCACTCTCCTGAATTAGAGTCTTAGGGGCTAGTTCATAGAAACACACCAGTCAGTGGCAAAGAGAAACTTCTGAATCAATCTACTCCCTGCAAAGGTAACAGTTATAAAAAGTATCATTCACTATGAATAGGTTTACCAAGCAATTAACTTTAAAACCACTGCAAACAACCTAAATGTGTATCAACCAAAGACTGGCTGAATAAGCAACAGTACCTGCTCAAAATAGAATACTGAGCATCAGGAAGAAACGAATGAGGACTTTCTATGCTGCTATGGAGTGATTTCTAGGATATACAGTTAAGTGAAAACAGGAATAGAGGAAAGTATGCATAGTGCACTACTGCTACTTCCGAATGGGAGTACAAATATACATGTATTTGTGAGTGAGTGTGTGTATATATACACAGACACATCCCCAAAACATACAACAAAAAAGGAGAGAAAAAACAGAGGGGATTGGGATAAAAGCTAAATCTGAATAACTTTGTTTTGTGGATTTACCTTTGGAACCATACAGTTTATATGAAGCAAAACAATAAAAAAGCAGTATCTAAAAATAGAAAACAAAATGAAACAAAAAATCTATTTGCATATTTTTGTTTGTGGCATAAACACATAGAAATTATCCCAAGTACCTTTTTTTTTTTTTCCTGAGACAGGTTTTGCTCTGTCACCTGGGCTAGAGTGCAGTGACATGATCATAGCTCACTGCAACCTCAAACTCCTGGGCTTGAGCGATCCTCCTGCCTCGGGCTCCCAAGAAGCTGGGACTACAGGTGCAAGCCACCACACCAGGTCTCCTCTTGCTCAGGCTGATATCAAACTCCTGGCCTCAAACAATCTTCCTGCCTCAGCCTCCCAAAGTGCTAGGGCTATAGGCATGAGCCACTGCACCTGGCTTCCAAGTAGCTTTAACATACAATAACTTGACTGTACATCTCTACTGGGAAATGCCCTAAGGATAAAGAGAACTGCAACACAAATCTTAAATTCTTTTCAGTCATAATTGTTGGTGGAAGTACAGGCATTGTGATTCTGAAGCTGACATTTATAGTGGAATGTAGAGCAAATGAGTAATTATATTGGTATTGCTGGGAAGTTAAGATATTTGACATGGGGAGGGGAAGATTACAGGTGTAGGATCAAAGTGGTTAAGTAAAAAACTGGCAATGTTGCTAGGTAGCCAGGGGCCTAGGTGCCGAGATGCGGTTCGAGATTCTCCCTGGACTTGCCGTCATGGGCACGTGCTTGATCATCCCCGGAGTGGCCACTGCGTACATCCACAAGTTCACTAATGATGGCAAGGAAAAAAGAGTTGCCCATTTTGTATATTATTGGAATTTGATGGAAAGAGATAGGCGCATCTCTGGAGTTAATCGTTACTACGAGTCAAAGGGTTTGGAGAACATTGATTAAAGCAGCATTTTCCTGATTGATAAAAAAATAACTCAGTAATGGTCATCTACTCCTGCTAGAAGGTTATACAGTGTATTATGTAGCATGCAGTATGTTATATAATGCTTAATAAAAATAAAATGACAGAAAAAAAAACTGGCAGTGTTCAATCTATACTAGAAATAGCATAAGAACTCATTAGTTTGTAATAAACGTATTTCCTAGTTTTATCCATTCAAAGGCCTAGAAAAAAATGACCTAACTGCAATGAGCACACATTATACCCAGACTGTGATCTCTAAATATCATTTCTCACTAAAAGGAACCAGAGTTCCTTCAAAAAATGGCTGTTTCCAGATTTGGAGTAAGAAATAGACAAGATGAGCCTGGAACATTTCATTGTACTAGAAAGCAAGGAAGCCCTCAAAAACTACTGGGAAGTAAATTGTACCTCAATAAATCAGATTTTTAAAAAACTACTGGGTTTTATCAAGATGGAACAATTTGAACATAAGGAAAATTTTAAAAACTGAAACACATCTAAAATCCATGAATTCATAATAATTAAAAAAAATCACTAGTTATCTTTCAAGAATGCTAGAGATCAACTCATTTTGAAAATGATAAATAAAAAGAAAAAAATCAAGTACATATTCTGTCTTCTCTATATAAATTATACCTGAGAGTAGCTACATAAACAATGAAATGCTGCTTCATGAAGTATTTCAGTTAGTAAATAGAGAAGGAATGATTAAATGTCACCATTTGTAACCTCTAATGGCATGTAGGCAATGACCTTCAGTGGCTTTTAACAATAGAAACAGAGAGATGACCATATATCCAATCATTATGAATCTCCTGATGGAAGTACATACCCAGGAAATATCCTTGTCAGAAAAAAAAAATTGAATCTGAGTCTGATCAAAGCTTCTAGATAAGCAGTTCTCAAGAGTAGCCTGTGGACCCCTGGGAGATCCCTGATACCCTCTAATGGAACCTGTAAGATCAAACTATTTTCATATTAATCCTAAGACATTATTTGACTTTTCTACTGTGTTGACATTTGCACTGATGGTACAAAAGCAGTAGTAGGTACAACAGCTAGCCTTAGTATGAATCAAAAAGTGGCACCGAATAGCATTAGTGGCTAATATGTTCTTCACCACCACAGGCTACAGCTTTAAAAAAAAAAACCCAATTCCCTTAAGAATGTCCATGATGAAGCAGTAAAATGTATTAATTTTATTAAAGTTCACTTCTTTTTAATAGTATCTATGATGAAATGAAAAGTCTTAACAAAGCACTTCTGTTATAACTGAAATACAATGGTCATCTTGAGGCAAAGCACCTGTGCAATTGAACTATGAGCTCAACCAGCTGCTTTTTTCGTGGAACACCATTTTTTACTTGAAAGAATGACAAATTGTGGTTATTCAGGCCTGGGTAGGTAGCAGAAATTTTCTCAAAAATGAAAACAGTGAGCCTGTCACTTAAAAGGAAAACAACTGATTGTGTTTTTTCCCAATGATAAAATTCAAACTTTCAAACGAAAATTAGAATTTTGGAAAACTTGAATCCACTGCTGTGAAATTCACAGCTTCCCTACATTTAGACACTTTTCTGGTAAGATATGGTCATAATTTCAAGGAATGTTACTTTTTTTTAATATTGTATAATGAAATGGTCCAACATTTAGAAGATCTGTGTAACTCAGCAGACCAGTGTTATCCAATCACCAATGTGTGTTACAAAATCATGTGTGAGTAAAAGTTCCATTCAAAATACAAAACAGACCAATGAACTTTAATATGAAGAGTAAGAAAAGTTCACTCGATATAATTTTAGATTCTACATTGCCACTTATCTTTAAGAAATCACTATTTTTTTTTTTTGAGACAGAGTCTCGCTTTGTTGCCCAGGCTAGAGTGAGTGCCGTGGCATCAGCCTCGCTCACAGCAACCTCAAACTCCTGGGCTCAAGTGATCCTCCTGCCTCAGCCTCCCAAGTAGCTGGGACTACAGCATGTGGCCACCATGCCGGCTAGTTTTTCTTATCTATATATTAGTTGCCAATTAATTTCTTTCTATTTATAGTAGAGACGGGTTCTCGCTCTCTGCTGCAGGTGGTCTCGAACTCCTGACCTCGAGCAATCCGCCCACCTCGGCCTCCCAGAGTGCTAGGATTACAGGCGTGAGCCACAGCGCCCGGCCAGAAATCACTATTTTTTGAGTTTCGGTACAGAGTCAAAGGACAGTATCCACAATTATCTGAAAAAGCTATTAAAATACTTCTCTCTTTTCCAACTATACATCTTTGCTACAAGGCCAGTCTTTCTTGATAAACTTCCACCAAAATAATATATTACAGCAGACTGAATGGAAAACAGGTATGATAATCTGTCTTCTACTAAGCCATACAGATTTTTTAAAATGTAAATAATGCCATTCTTCTCATTTGTTTTTGTTTTAGGAAACATGGTCATTTATCATAAAAAATATTTATATTAACATATAATTAGTTTATTATTTAGTGAATTAATAAATTCTTTTAATTTTTCTTGTTTAGTTTTCTAATTTCAGTAAAACCCCGCCACTCACCACTTAAAAAAGCTCTTTGGGGTCCTCCATAATGTTTATAAGTGTAAAGGGGTCTTGAGAAACACTGGTCTAGATCAAACTACCAATTTATTAGACATTCAGGGAACCTATGAAACAGCATCACTTAGATGTAATTAGCATATCCAGAATGTGGGAAACTATATGGGATAACAATTGGGTTTAACAGTATCACAAGGCTGGGCACGGTGGCTCACGCCTGTAATCCTAGCTCTCTGGAGGGCCGAGACGAGCGATGCTTGCTGCGAGGTCAGGAGATCGAAAACCAGCCTGAGCAAGAGCGAGACCCATCTCTACTATTAAATAGAAAGAAATTAAGTTGGCCAACTAAAATATATATAGAAAAAATTAGCCGGGCATGGGTGGCGCACGCCTGTAGTCCCAGCTACTTGGGAGGCTGAGGCAGAAGGATTGCTTAAGCCCAGGAGTCTGAGGTTGCTGTGAGCTAGGCTGACGCCACGGCACTCACTCTAGCCTGGGCAGCAAAGCAAGACTCTGTCTCAAAAAAACAACAACAAAAAAACAGTATCACAAACTATGGGGGCCACAGGGTTGCAGGAAGGAGGGGCTATAAATTAAAAGCAACTTAGGAGATATATCAACCAACTGCAAGGTATGGATCTTATTTGTATCTTCAAACAAACTGTAAAAAAAAAAATTATATATGAGGAAAACTAAACAGTGACAAGGTATTTTATGGCATTAAGGAAATTATTCTTTAAACGTATGATAAAGGTATTAATATTTTGTAGCAGCGGTCACTTTAACCCTGCGTTTGACTGAGCACGATAGCCGTACTGAAAATACGTTTACGACATGAAATATGCCTGGAATTTGCTTCAAAACAATAAAGAGGTAGGGACAAGAATTAGTGGAGGTGAAGAATAAAACAAGAACAGTTATGAGTTGATGACTGTTGTAGCTGAGTGATGGGAACTTCATTAGATTTTATCTTAGCAATGGAGGATGGTATATTTAACGACATGCACTAATTTTTTAAACTCATTTTGAAACAAATGAACAATAAATTCAAAGAATGTTTTGGAAATGTTCCTTTTGTCTCTATGAAATGGCAGATAGAGTTTCAAGTTGTAGATACCTGGGTTCCCAAAAAACATCAAGATGCATCCTTGAGAGTATTAACTTAAGCATAAGCAAATAAAGCATCTCTGCTACCATACCAATCACCATTTTAAATTATAAATAAGGTAGTAATAATTCTCACCTCCCAGCAAATATCTAATTGCTAAAGTGTATAGCCAAAAGCAAAGAGTGTAACCTAACAAGAAATGAATAATTGACTGTGTTCTGACAATTCAATAAAGCTTCTTTATAAACACTGAAAGAAATCTTAATTTACAATCAGATTTGGAGCTCTGATCTGGGAATGAATAATTAAGACAGTTTCAGAAATCATATGTTATTGTTGGCCTCCTGGGAAAAGCTAAGGGCTAAAATTTATTCTTTTTGCCACCAAAAAATCCATCTGAATGGCTTATAATTATCCAGGGAATCCAAATGAGCAATCTTGTTCAGGTTCTGTTACTTTCATCAAATTAATTTTGAATTAACAGTTTAGTGGTTTTCTATCCTGATGGACCCATTATCACATGGAGGGATATTAGCTCTCTGTGCTGTATTAGGATTCTATTTTTAATTTCTCTCATAAACCAAGGAAAAATCTAAAATAGTACTAAATATTTCCAGGAAAAAATGGGTACACTAGGAACTAATTTACTTCACCTCAAGGTCTCTCCTTCAGTCCCTTTCCCCCTTTCCTCCACACCCACACTCCTGTCTTCCCAGCCATACCACAGGCTTAGGGTTTCCACAGACATGCTTCATGTTTCAAAATACACTTCAAATGAGACTCTTGATGCCTTCCCTGAGGTTCTTGCTCTCTTTTCTGGGCTCCTATACCACTTTTTTATACAGAGAATTTACCAGAATAGCTTAGAGAGAGACTATATAGTATACATGGGTAAGAGGATGTGCTCAGCAGCCAAACTGCTTTGGTTCAAATCCCTGCTGTGCCACTATCTGTGTAAATGTAATCAATTACCCCCTGCAAGTCTGTTTTCTTTTTTCTTTTTAATTTACAAATAAAAATTGTATATACGTATCATGTACAACATGATGTTTTGAAGTACAGTAGTCCACCCTTATCTACAGGGGATAAATTCTGAAACCTCCAGTGGACAATAAGACATTAATAGAACAATTATGTAACAACAACATACTGTTTACAATTCCATGGATAAATACTCATTCTTACCATAGATCTTAGTAACCTCAGTATATGATTTTTTCTTTCCATATTAAGTCTAGAACTTTCACCTTTTCACTTACAGGAAGCACTTTACAGCTTCTCTTTGGCTTGCCTGAACTGCAAGCATCACTACTCTTGCACTCTGGGGCCATTATTAAGTAAAATAAGGGTGACTTGAACACAAGCACTACAATACTGCAACAGCTGATCTGACAACAGAGTTGGCTGCTAAGTGATTAACGAGCAGGCAAAGTGTACAGCACGGATACACTGGACAGCGATGGTTCACAACCAGGGTAGGACAAAGCTGGACGATTATAAGATTTAATTACACACTCAGAATGGCACAATTTAAAGCTTGTGAATTGTTTATTTTTGGAATCTTCCACTTAGTATTTTTGGACTGCAGTTAACTTCAGGTAACTGAAACCTTGGAAAGGGAAACTGTGGACAAGAGGAGACTATTTACTGTATGTACACACTGTGGAATAGCTCAATCAAGCTAATTAACATGATTTACTGTACATACTTATAATTTTTTGTGGCAAGAACATTTAAAATATACTCTCTTAGCGATTTTTAAAATACAATATATTGTTATTAACTAGTCATCATATTGTGCAATAGATCTCTTGAATTTATTTCTCCTCTTAAGCCTCAGTTTTTTTACCCATAAGATGGTAATAGTAACATTACCTACTTCATAGGATGGTTGTGAAGATTGAGCTAATATATATAATGCCTGGCACATAGCAAATTCTCAATAAATCTAAGCTATCACTACCACGACATATCAAAATCACTGGATTATTTTCTGCTACATTATGAACTCTCTTCAGGGTAGTGACAGTATTTGAGTTTAATTCAATTAGTTGAATTAAATATTGAATTAATTCAGAGACTATGTCTGAGTTTAATCGAAAACAGCATGCTAACTTTAAGCCAGGCAATTGCTAGGTGTTAGGAATACACAGACGAGTAAAATAAAGTCCAGGCTGTCGAGGATCCTGCAGTCTTGCCTATTCACACATAGTACACACAGAGGACTTCAAAAAAAAATATAGATTTAATTAATATGAGGAGGCCACCTACCAGCAAATCTTTTTATAGTGTAAGTCATAAGAAATCTGAAAACAACTTCATTTGAATAAATAGGAAACTTACTTCAAAACCTAAGGATCCAAAAAGCTAATACTCAACAATACTTGCAAAGATAATAATTGGCTGAAAAGTACTCTTGGTTCCTCTAGATCTGCAGAAGCACTGGCTAACTCAATTTAGACTAAAACCAGGAAAAATCCAAGTAGAAAGTTTAAAAACATATCTCTAATTTTTTAAGTTAAGCCAAGCAATATGTTAGTACAGCAATACTCTCTCTGTAAAAGCATCTAAAACTAAATTTCTCTCCAGAGGCAATGACTCTTATCAAGTTATTTCATATCCTGTCTTTTTTTTATCTATGCAGTTGCATGTGTGCATATATATATATATACAAAAATAGGTAGTATGGCTTTAATATACTCTTATACATACACACACACATATGCTTCTCAATTCTATTCTATAACACTGATCTATATTCTTATGCCAATATCACAATACTTTCATTATTGTGGTTTTGTGGTACATTTTGATATCCGGAAGTGTAAGTCCAATTTGCTGTTCTTATTCAAAAATATCTTGAATATTTTTATGCATTTATACATCCATATGGGAAATAAATATGGTATTATATTTGAAATATCTATCTAGGTTTTCAAATTTAATGACATAAAATTCTAAATTATAATCTTTGATCATTCTATTAATAACATTCTTCCATCTCTAATAATGCTCTCTCTCCCCTATACCCACTATAGTTCATTGGTATCATCTTCCTTTTTAATTTGATCAAATCTGCCAAATGTCAGGTACTTTCAAAGAACCTGCTTTTGGTTTTTTACAGATCAACTTTTTTGTTTGTTTTCTATTTCATTAAATTCTCCCTTTATCTTTATACTATTTGTTTTTTAGCTTATTTACACCCTTTCTTGTATCCTAAAAAGAAAATACATTTAAGTGTATAAATCTTCCTCTGAATACCATTTTTTTGCTGCATCCCACAGGTTCTGAATTACAGGAATCTGAATTTTGTAGGGTTCTTATAATTCATTTCTAAATAGTTTATAATTTCTGTTTTGATCTGTGTGTGTGTGTGTGTGTGTGTGTGTGTGTGTGTGTGTGTGTGAGAAACAGAGTCTTACTCTGTAGCCCGGGCTCTAGTGCTGTGGCATCAGCCTAGCTCACAGCAACCTCAAATTCCTGGGCTCAAGCAATCCTCCTGCCTCAGCCTCCCAAGTAGCTGGGACTACAGGCATGCGCCACCATGCCCGGCTAATTTTTCTATATATTTTTAGTTGGCCAATTAATTTCTTTCTATTTTTAGTGGAGACGGGGGTCATACTCTTGCTCTGGCTGGTTTCGAACTCCTGAACTTGAGAGATCCGCCCGCCCAGCCTCCCAAAGTGCTAAGATTACAGGCATGAGCCACTGCACCTGGCCCTTGATTTTTATCTTTAAAGTGAGAACTATTTAAAGATATACTGTTACATTTCCAAATGGGATAAAGTAGCTTTGGCTGCTTTTTACTGTTAATTTCTAATTTTACTGTATTATAGTCAGTGAATGTGGCCTATGATTTCTATGTGGAGATTTCTTTTCGTGTACTTTAAAACCAGTCAAATTTTATCAATACTCCAAATACGTTTTTAAAGTTTCATGTATATTAAAAAAGTTTTTCTATTTTCTGTTTTATCAACCTTGTTACTAGTGTTAGTTTTCTGTCTAACTGAAATGTCAATTTTTGAGAGGATATTTAAGTCTTCTTGATTAACTTCTTAAAAACTATAGTTTTCTCATTGCTCCTTCTTACTACACATTCTTGGTGCCATCCAAGACATACTGTTTCTTCACTGTTCAGTAACACACCAACCAAGTCCCTTGCCACAGGACCTTTGCATGTTCTGTTCCTGCTGTTTAAAAAGCTCTTCCTCTGGATATTCACACAGTTCACATCCTCATCTTCTTACCAAGGAGGACTTCCTGAACTACTCTATATTTAAAAGCTGCACACACTCTCTCTCTTTGGCTTTATATTTTCCATAATACTTACCACTATCTGACACATTAAATATTTTACTTATTTTCCTTCTTTTAGAATGAAACTTCCATGAGGGACAGGTTTCTGGCTGTTCTGTTCACCACTATATTCCTACAACAGTGTCAAATATATAATCACACACACACACACATAGGCACTGAATAAATAAATAAATATACAGATGATAAAAACAAATGAAGCTGACTCTAACATGGGTTCAATGACTAATCAATCAAGTAACCTCAGGTGAGTTATTCTGGTCCTCAAAGATCTCTCTCTAGATATCTAAGACCTCAACTATCATTAGGTGCATAGACTATGACATTCCTGCCATTTTACAAAAGTAGAAATTAGGTTATGGAAGAATGACATCATTTCCTCTAGGCCAGTCAACAGTGGAAAGCCAGGACCAGAAAGGCCGCCTGAAGTTCAAATCCAATGCTCAACTAAGCTCTTTTAGAAAAAAAGAACAGAATTAGGACAGCTGAATATCAAACTTTAGAATTTAAGGATATAAAAATAAAAAATTCCTAAAGAGAAAAATCCTTTCTAGAAATATTCAAAACAGGCATACAGACTCCTTAGCTTTCTTCCCAAAGTTTTTAATGCCTCTGCTTATTAAATCCTTATAAACATTAATAAGAGTCTGTGGTTGAAAGAGAATGTTCCACAGCAGAGAAAGGAAAAACACACCCAGTGTTTCATTAGAAACTTTGGAATAATTTATATTTATCCTCTTAAAAAATTCTGAATACTCCTCCCAGAGAGCCTAAAATTAGGAGAATGGTTAGCAGAACGACAAGGACAATACAAAACAGTAAAAACTGTCTTCCAATCCAATTCTTAAATATAAAATCAAAATCTCAAATAAACTATTAAAGATAATTACATCTTCATTTGATGGAGTACTGCTTTCTTAATTTCCAACTGGACAAAAAAAAAAAAAAGATGGCAAGTGAACAGAAGATTTTTAAAACAAAAAAAGATGCCACTAATTACGGACCCCAAACATAAGGAGTCGCTCGCTCATGGGGACAATCATAGAAGACTCAAACTGCACAAAAAAATGCTCAAGTACTTTCAGTGAAATGACAGAATCCGATGTGCAATATTGCAAATAACTTCCCCCTGAAGATATAACCATTTATTTCCAACTACTTACAAACTCATAGTCTCCATCCTGTGGTACTTTCCAATCTGCAGAATTTTTCAGTGGGCCAGGCACACTCTTGCCAAAGCTGCTGATCTGGTTTTCCTTTTCTTTTTGTTCAAAATATTCCAGAAAAGATGGTTTTGCAGGCTGCATGGTCTCATCCCTTCCTGAAAACCAAGAAAAATAAAAAGTGAAAAGGAATAGTCTTACATTTTTGATAAGTTTAATAAATAGATCTATCTCCAGATGGGCTACAGTCTCTGGATAGATGGGTCTTTCTATTAGATAAAAGACTCCTTCTTCAAGAATCTATAAAACTACAAAAAAAGGCACAAATACTCAAAATATTTCTTAGAATTTCAGGAGGATGCAAGGCCCCCCCAAAATACACACAAAAATTTCTCTGAGGTCCCTTTCTCTAGATAGAAAGACTTGGGTGGTGCAATGATTCTGAGTAAGCTGCACATAATACATTTTAGGTCTCCTATAGCAAATAGTTTCTGTAATCTTTAGACTGAAAACAGAGATGCAAGCCAAAGCATTTATTTAGCATCTATCATATACAATATTCTCTATAAGCATTAGACTAGGATGACACAGTAGGATGACTTTCCTTGATAATCTCATGACCTAATTGGAATGACAAAAATATGCATAATTAAATCATGCTCCATCTACTCTATGAAAGATCATGTAACTTCTAAAATACTACCTATAAATGGTTTACAATAAAATTAAAGGGAAAATAGGATAAAATATTACATATGCAGTATAATCTCAACTCTATAAAATTATATGCATAGGAGAAAAAAAGTCTGGAAGAAAATATACCAAAATGTTAACAGGGTCTGTCTCTGGCAGTAGGACTTTTTTTTTTTTTTTTTTTGAGAGACGGTGCCTCATGCTGTCTCCCTGGCTAGAGAACAGTGGTGTCATCATAGCTCACTGCAACCTCAAACTCCTGGGCTTGAGTGATCTTTCTGCCTCACCCTCCCAAGTAGCTGGGACTACAGACACACATCACCATGCCCAGCTAATTTTTCTATTTTTAGTAGAGATGGAGTCTTGCTCTTGCTCAGGCTGGTCTCCAACTCCTGAGCTCAAGTGATCCTCCCACCTTGGGCTCTCAGAGTGCTAGGTTTACAGGTGTGAGCCATGGTGCCTGACCACTACAACTACAGGTGATTTTATTTACTTTTTTTAAACATTTTTAAAAAGAGATAGTACTATATAGGTATTAAATAAATAGAATTAATGAAGATACATGTGCCCAGATCTTGCAGGTTGGGTGGTCATGGAAGACTGGTAAAGAGGAGCTTAGGTTGGGCCTCAAACCACCCTGGAGAACAGAATCAGCAGCTACCTTGCAGCCATTACCATATAAGAGCAGAATACAACAATTACTAGTTATTAGTAACAACAGCAAAAAGAATTGCTTTACCTGGCATAACTTAAAAACCTAGCTAACTGAGTGTACCTGCTTCATATGTTAAAGTATCTTTGTGCCTATGATTAACACAGAAGTTTTTTTCAGTGCTTTCCAGGAACATGTGAGTTTATACAGCCCTTTCCCACAATAACCAGGAAAAAGAACCAGAAGGTTGAGAACCTAAAGAAGTAGATGGGTAAAGGGTTAGAAGATAAAGAACAGCAAGTATTTCTCTTCAGGCATCCTTGTTCTAGGCAATCTTCCTTATCTCATGACACTTGCCTGGTCCAGTTTCAAGCCAGCACCCTGACTACCTCTTAAGACATTTGTCATCTTTCTCACTGTCACCACTGCCACGTTCAACAGCAGCCAGTCCCAGATTTGCCCACTTCCAGATGTTGCCAATAGCTTACTACACTGTTGCCTCTCCACTTATTGAGAATTAAACACAAAATTTGCTAGGACCAGTTAATGAGTACATGGTGTTTTGTGTGCTCTAGGTATGATGCTAGGTGATGCTTATGTTTATTTTATTTAATTGTTAAATTAAATTGAAGGTATTACTTCATAACATAGTTCTGCAGGAGCTACAACAAAATAAGACTTCTACATAGTGGTGCCTCTCCTCTGAACCCAGAGGAGAGGACTGGCTCAGAGACAACCTGCAATGCTACACATAATCCTACGCATTAAAAAAACACTGTTCAGAAAACCTCCTAGAGGCCAGCACTTCAGTATACTGCCAATTGCTGACATATACAGTATATAAAATATCCCGACAAGATATACCAACCAGCTGAACAGAATGGAAAGTCCAGAAACAAAATAGAAAGTCCAAATGGCTATACAAACAATGGAATAACTATTTGGAAAAAGATTAAATTGAATCTTCATATCATATCTTAAGCCTGGAATACTCCAAATGGATAAAAGATCTAACTGTAAAAATTAAAACCATAAATACTAGAAGAAAACATGTGTGAATGAAATTTAACTGTAGCAGAATGGTTAGTTAAAAAGTTACATATATCAGATTACTAAAAAGCTAAAGTTGATTTTGGAGGCAGCACAACAGAAAAATCCCTCTCTTAGAATTTTATGTTATGTATATTTTACCACAATTTTCTAAAAATTAGGAAAAAATCCCTATCCTGCAGTTTAAAGATTTAGATTTTGGTTCTGACTATATGATTTTGAGAAAACCACAGGTTCCCAATCTGCAAAATGATGACACTAGCTCAGGTTATTTCTAACTTCCCTTATAGCTTTGAAAATTTTATGACTTGGCAGTAGCATAGGAAAACATATTTATGCCCCAGTTATTGATAACTATTCAAAAGAAGTAGTCCTTATCTCCAGAGAGATTATGATATTTGATGCCTCTAATCTAAAATATGTTACAACTATATGTGTATGGGCATAAAACAAAGACCAGGCCAAACTGAAAAATAGGGCTCAACAAACAGTTTAGTGACAAGAATGTCTCTTTAGTCTTTGGATTTCTTTTTGTCGTTGTTGGCTTGGTTTAACAGATGGGAAAGGTGACTCAAACTGTAATAAAGATATCATCTAGAGATGTAGGTGATAAAAATATTTTATGTAACTAAAGCAGAAACGAATGAATCAACTAGTAGCGGAAGCCACTTCAACTGGCAAAAAAATAGTATGCATTCAAAAACAGTTAGGTGATCGCTGTAGTTGATGACTGCAGAAATTAAATGCCTCCGCCATAATGATTCTTTCCTGATGTGTAAGGTTGCTTCACTGATGGATTAAGGTTGTGTGGAAGACACAGCATTCCTATTGTGACCAACATTTCCTCAACAACACCATAATTAAACTGTAGCACCTGTTCTCAGTCTGATTTTCTACACCAGTAATAATCCTCAGTGAACAGATTTGTATTCCTACCACAATTAGTATCTAAGATAAACTGTTTTCAAAAGTGGCCACAATAATATTCTCCTGTTATCTTCATCCCTGAGTTGTGCCCTCCCACAATGGGCTGAGCTAACTAACTTGCTTTGGTCAGTGACACAATAGCAAATGTACAGCAAGAAGAAACTAAAAATTATGTGTATTCTACTACAATGAAAATAAATCTGAGTGAGGCTGCAAGATGGTGAAATACCATGTGGAGAGGCCAGTCAGCAGATGTCTAAGCTGAGGGACCTCATAAATCAGCCAGGTGACTAAAGAGCAGAGCAAACCAGCCCAAGCTGGAAGAACTGCCTAGCTGAGTCCAATCTAATTGCCAACCTACAGAATCATGAATTAAATAAAATGGCTGCTATTTTAAGCCACTACATTTTAGGGTCATCTGTTATACAGCAAAGCTAACTGATACAGTCTGTCTGTCTGTCTGCCTGCCTCTTTCACACACACATACACACATTCATACACATCACCCTAAACCTACAAAAAGAGTTTCATTCTTTGGGAACTCAGGTTCAAATTCAACTAACATTTACTGAATACCTTCTACATTTCAGGCTTTCTACTAAGTGTTTTCACATGATATTCTCATCCATGACCACCATATAAAGTAGGGAAGGAAGAGGCTTTACACTTATCAGGCACCTAGCAAGTGCCAGGCAATGTACTATTTCACTTAATCCTCAAAGAATCTTTTGAGGTATGTATTTTTATCCCCTTTTATAAGGAAAGAAAGTTGCCTGAGATTTCATAGCTAGTAACCAACAAGGACAGGATTTGAATGCAACAATCAGGTTTTAAGTTTGGTGAGCTGCATCTCATTGTAAGTTCTCTAAAATCAAAATAAAGATTCTTGACATGTTAGAATTGCCATTAAGTGCAGAAAGAGTGAGGGAATGGAATTTTCCCAGTAACCTTATCTTTGAACTTTTCTTTCAGCACCCTTTAGCTAGATAGATGATCAAGTGTGCTGGACAGCAGCCTGACAGTGCTGAAAAGCATGAGAGAATCAGTCCAAGCTGATTAAAGGCCATGCTGTCCCCAGGGCTTCAGCTAGCTGGTGGGCTTTTTGTTTTGACTTGAGCTACGGTATTTTTTCAGATGTATCCCAGGAAATGAAGATGTTCAGTTGAATGATACAAGAAACCTAAAGCCATAGGGAAAACAGACTGAGCAAAGAAACCAACCCTTGAAAATAGTCACATCTTGCTCTAATTCTTTTATCTGATGCAAGAAATACATGAACTCCCATACTATGACTAGCCTATTTTTCGTTGTAAGCAGCATTTGTCAAGCTAAATGGACAATCTGTCTAAGCCCACAAAGGAGTGAATTCATAAGCAACTGTATCTTCTATTTATTTTTCTTCGAAAAATGCTATACAAAAGCAAAAAGATTCAACAACCCAGATATCTATCAAGTGATGAACAGATAAATAAAATGTAGTATATCCACACAGTGGACTATATTATTCAGCAATAGAAAGAAATGAAATATTGGTACATAAAACAACATGGATAAACCTTGAAAACATTATACAAAATGACAGAATCCAGACACAAAAAGCCACATATTGTATGATTCCATTTACATAAAATGTCCATAGAGACAGAAAGTAGATTAATGGTTGCCTGGGAATGAGAGGAGAATGGGAAGTGATAGATAACAACAGGATCACAGCTTTTGGGGGTGTGATCAAAAAGTCTGGAATTCAATAGTGGTATGGTTAGAATACCTTGTTAAATTCCTTAAAAAAAAAAAAACCAACTGAATTCTATGCTTTAAAATGGCAAATTTTATAAC